TTAAATAATGTGAGAGACAACGACGTTTACCCGATGATCACAGTAGCAGTGCATGCAAGTAGGTCATGCGACGGGCCACCTCGTGCGACATGCTCATAATGGCCACTTATTTTCGTGCACGAAATGGCATAATTAATGGGAGAATGTCTTCGGTGTTAGATAAGTTCTGACCGCCACGGATAAAAGAAATAAATGCTGCATGGACTTCTACGGCGGACGTCGAGCTCGCAGCTTCCACCCAGTTTCTGACGTGGGAATGACTGTGACCGCTGCCAGACTTCTCATGCAACGACGTTGTGATGACGAGCAACAGGCCCTCTAGAACACCACAGGTTAAACATGGTTAAATACGATGCATATATGCCTGTGAGTTCAGATATATACATACCTGCAGGTGCAGGTCAAACCCATCATCTTCCGCCATGTCGAAGGTCCCCATTACTGTGTTGCAGTGTATCTGTAAGGAGGAGGAGTACCAAGTTAAAGCGTTCAAGCAATGACTACTCCGCAGTGGAGAATTCAAATCTGCATAAACCCTGCATCGATAACAGAAGATGCAAGTAATCGACGATGAATCTGACTCGAGCAATCTTCTCAATGCGAACAAAACAGTGGGTGGTGGAATCCAATATGGACAACCCAAACTCTCCACGTGTTCATCTCTGCCTCGTTCTTCCGTCGCGGTCGGAGAACTTCTGTGGCGATAACGGAATTGGTGGTGTGCGGGGCCGGCACTGAGCAAGTTGGTTCCGTTAACTAAGTTTGACTGGTCTCGGGTGGTACAACACTGGACGTGTTCGTGAAACGGGCTTGACAAGGCTCGCAAATAGGCCGCACAAGAACAAAAGCACATGTGTTTTGAACACACCATACCGTCATGGGAATTACGTTTGAGATTCTATAAGCCCCTAGCCTCTAAGCTTTGCATCCTATATAAACCCCGCCTTCTCCTTCCTTCCTCGCTACTCCTTGTGAGGTTTCTTCAAGGAAGAAGAGAAGCTCTTCTTGCACCACACACAGAGAGAAACATGAAGAGAGAGGCGATGGAAGGATCAGATAGTGCTCCGATGACATACGAAGAGCATGAAGAACTTCTATCGTGCATACGAGACCATAGAGCGAGGTAGTGAGATCATGTAATTTTAGTGAAGTTTCAGAGTGTTACCTGTAAGATGTTGCTTGGTGATTTCAGGTTGGGCGTTGAGGCTCCCAAGGTCGAAGTCAGGTTCGAGGAACTGTCGGTGGAGACGGAGGCGTCAGTTCGGAAGAGGGTTCTTCCCACCCTCCCCAATGCCGTCATCAACACTGCTCAGGTAGACTTGCCACCATGCTCTAGTAAGACAAACACGTGTTCTTGACCTTTGATCACCAGTTGGGTTTGAGTCCTTGAGAAGATGATGCCTTCTCTTATTATCTTTTCTTCCTTTGATCCCGCAACGTCTGCACAGAAACGAGTAGAGCAAGTAGTAATTAGTACCTGCAGAGTTGACTTCCATCTCTACCAGAGGCCACAATATATTCAACTTCCAGTTACTAGTCTCGCCATATTACCTGCACCTTTTTTTGTTTATACTTGCTATAAAGTTGAGTAAACACTGTTTCAGCTAGAACTTGCCTGATTTAGGTGCCATGGACTAAACCATTCTGCAGCTAAACAGGGAGTATAGGGTAGAATATAGGAGAAATGTATGCCTGATGCTTCGTCGGATTTCTATGCTCATGAAGCTGGTAGCAAATTGTGTATCCACTCAATATAACCTCCACCTTCAGTCTTTATCATCTGATGGTGGAAAAAGCTGCAACTTCATCACCTAGATTCGCTCGGCTTACTGTGGCATGCCCTAAATGTCCATGGCCGAAATGTCCCTGAACTTAACCAAGAAGCACAGCATCAGCATGGGCAAACACTTGGATATAATAGCAAAGGTAAAGTTAGCAGTTACAGTGTCTCAACAAATGAAGCAAGAGATATAGGCATGAAAGGTTAGGCTGTGCTTGACGGATCACACCGTCTCCAGTCTTTACCTCAATAGAAATAGTGCTTATGTGGATCTCAAGCCAAGTAAGATAAGCTGTGTCAAGAACAGATGTAGTGGATCAGTCTTCACAAGCTTGCAAATAACCTCCATACTAGTTTCCCATCTCCCTCGATGTCAGCATTCCTTTTCCCTGGTGGTGAGGCTGGAGGATCCACCATCTCCTTGCTTGCTCATGTATCTTTTGCATATCTGCAGATGGTTTTGTGCTGAAGCTCAGGAGGAAATTTAACCACTGAATCTTTGGTTCAAAGAGCTACCACCTACCTCTTCTTTTGTTTCTTTTTGTGTGGCTTTGTTGACAAATTAGTTTGCTGTCCATGGAATAAAAATCTGCTAATAAGAAGTCAAAGTCACCATAAGACAACTAACTCAAGATTTTCAGTAAAAGATTCTGCACTAGGACATCTGTAGATTTTCGAGTTACTTTTTCACTTCTGGACCTAATGGCCATGAACCTTGTTTTAATTAATCTTTGGTAAAATAGTAATGGAAAACAAGTGTACTTGAAATTTCAAGTCTTAGCATTTTGATACTTAGATCTTACAAAATTAACATCACAAGAAGAACATGCAGCACACAATTCATAAACATTAGATGCTTGAATTGAAGTATTAGAACAGCTATGCTAACTTATGATTCCTTGTCTCACAAATTATTTGGCTGCTCCATACGAAGGCAGCTTATAATAACTTGTGTGTGTGCAAGTGAAGGTCAAAGTTGTGACAGGAAAAACCAAAAAAAACGAAGTAGATGCTCCCTTAATAAGAGGGTTTGGTAAAGTTAAGAATTCCCCTGCCTTAGACCCAATGGACAAGGACCAGACTTTGACTAATTGTTTCGTGTACCCCTAATAGAAAACAATAATTAGTTAACTTACTGCATTACAAGCTCTAGATCTGGATATACAAAGTGTGCACACTTCAGAAAAATGCAAAGTGATGAAGTAACTAGCAATGAGAACTTGACTAGAAATATTAAGAATTTACAGTAATTTGTAATTCCTGTAGACAAGCACTGAGACTGTGCTTGCAATTCAGAAAAATGTTTTTCCCTCACAAAGTACCGAGTGGTATATAAAGAGTGGACATGGTCTATCCTAAACTATGTTCTGTACTTCTGGGCAAAGAGAACAGAAGAAATGCTTTTTTTGTTTTTAATGTGCACAGGTCTACACCTTATCTTCTTGACTTCAACTAAATTTGCATATTTCTTATACGTTCCTGATATTTTGTTAATAATCAACCTATGTTTTAATCTAGATTTTGCATTGTGCACAAACAAAAATAATCATAATGTGTTTGAACAGGAGCTCATGGGATGGCTAAGATTATACCAAGCAAACAGGAAGCCTGTCAAAGTGCTAAATGGTCTGAGAGGAATTGTAAAGCCTTCTAGGTACTTTTTAAACTCAGTGTGAATGATCTACCTGAGAAATTATAAAAACTATTTATTTGTCTGCTTTCTGCAACAGTTTTTCTCCTGAAGGATATTAAAATAGGCTGATCTTTGACATTATCTTTTCTCAAATAATTAAGCTACTATTTTATCAGAGAAAAAATATATCAGTCCCATCGGGGCAGAACACCAATTGAAACATTTGTAGAAAGTGACTGAAAAATTAAATGATAAGGGACCATAATTAAGACATACCCACTTAACAGAATTGAGGCCACAGTCCCAGAGAAGATTCCATCTTACATGAATGAGAACATCATCATAAAGGGAAAACAATACTTTTAGCTGTAGAAAAGATAATATCAAGCATCCTGAACATAACAGCACTTGTCTTTGCAGTTATTTGTTCATGATTTATGGTCTCCTTACAAATATCACATATTAACTTTGTTGAATGCTTATATAAACTATGAGAATCTCTGGGAAAAAGAGTTTTGATCTTTGACCTTCAGAAAGTTACATATTTTTGGGATCATTTGTAATTTTGTACAAGGGAAACAGACAAAGTTGCTCTTCTTAGTCATCTGACTTTTATAGATAGGGAAAGGTCATGCTATATTCAACATTATCGCCAAGATGCCATTGAAAATTTCTCCTAATTTCTAACTCCTCTTAACCTCACAATGCTTCACCTATATCATTAGGTTAATAATATGGATTGACTATTTATTAATTGTGGCATTATCCTATGTATGCCAATCTGGTTTGCGTAAATATAAACAAACATGTACCTAAGACATAAATATATGCACATTTATCAATTACATATATGATATTCAAATTAATAAAGGAGCCCTAGATATAGGTTAACTGAGTTCATAGTTCTTTTATCTCTTTAACTATAGAAAATCTAAAATTTAAACAAAATGTCTATTTCAGGATGACACTTGTCCTTGGGTCTCCAGGATCTGGAAAGTCAACATTTTTGAGAGCTTTGTCGGGAAAACTAGACCCTAGTTTAAATGTAAGTATTTCTTTTTGCCTTCTCTTTCGATGTGTATGGGAAAATGAGTTATCAACGCCTAGATATCTTGTCTTAATCTGTTTATTTTTTGGTACTAATTGATTCTCATTCCCTAGGTCACAGGAAAAGTCGCATATAACGGACAAAAGATGAATCACTATATCTCCCAAAGGATGTGTGCATATGTTAGCCAATATGACCTCCATCATTCTGAGATGACAGTGAAGGAGACAATGGAGTTCTCTAGAAAAATGCTAAAAGCTGGAAATGAAATTGGTAAGGATCTATCAATTATAGCAGTGCTTTAAAAAATCTTACCCAAAAAAGAGTAAAAGAAAAAAATTAAACCATGTTATGTTTATGCTTAAAATTATTATATATAAAGATAATATGCTTACACGGAACAGACACAATATTCTGCCCAGGCCAAGGAAATTAGGCCTACATTCACACCCTGTTTTGGTCAACTTAATGGGTTGTATTTAGAATTAGTATATTACCTATCTAGTTTGTTAACAGCACATGCTTTCTATTACTAAACAGGGTTTATGTTTCCACCCGGTGTATCATATGTAAGCTTACAAACCAACTTTGCTAAGAGAAAATGATTAGCACACCTTACCTTCACAGTTGAAGAGAAGCAATCTATAGAAGAAACTACCATTTAATATAAATGTAAAGCTTCAGTGAATGCATCCGCCTTCCTAGTTCCTTAAATCAGTGAACCCAACTCTTAGAGGAAAGACAAGTACATTATCTCATTATTCAATGACTTCTGCAGAGATGCATAAAGCTGTGAGCACAGCGAAAATAGAAGCAAGCATCCAAGAAGAGAGAAACATTAGTGCCATGGTAAAGATACCACTTGATTTTGACAATTTAGATTTAACTCAGAGAAAGGATTGTAGTAGAATTACCATTTTCATGTGTTATGTAGGAAAACGATTCTTCAAAAGATGAAGGGAACTTCATAACCAACTACATTCTGAAGGTATGTACCTTTCTTATCTCTTATTTTAGTAAAATTTTTTTTTTTTAATAATCTGAAACTAATAGAACCTCTAAACATTTAAATTTTACATATGTTGCAGAATCAGAGTCCAAACATGACAATGACACCTTTTATTACAGTGCCGAAATGCTAAAAATTATTATTCCCCATAAGCTTCTATCACTTTGTCCAAACAATATAGAGATCTTTAACAGAGCTATAAGGAGCCCACAATGGTTGATAGAGTAACTAAAATTTTAACTCCAGTATATGTTGACAACTTTTTTTCACCAAAAAGATATGATATTGATGTATCATTAGCATTTACTTTAACATCAAATTTGTCCCACATCACATAACATTGGAAATTGCCTTCTAAAAGTTGAAAAAAAATTCCGTCCATAAACCATAACAAGACAGGTATACTAAAGTTTTTTTGCTTTGATTAAAAAAGTCTCTCATTTGTAGTGGTAGGACATCATGAATATGATAAAATATAATTGCATGTCATATTCAACTTAAAATGATATTGTAAATTTGTAAAATTACAATAGATATCAACATGTCTCATACATAACGAACTTGACTAGACTTGTTAATTAACTTTAGATTCTTCAAAATAACCATAGAGTACAGGACAATCAAACTTTTGAAGTAAACTTACCTTGTTCAGTATCTTCTTACATTTAAATGACCTATCTTTTCAGATACTTGGCTTGCATGAGTGTGCAGACATAATAATAGGTGATGAGATGCGAAGGGGAATATCTGGAGGACAAAAGAAACGAGTCACAATTGGTACAGTAAAAATAATTGATTTTAATGCTATCCCTTTAGAAACACCATTTCAAGCATTTTCTTGCATTTTGTTTCTTTGTTCTGTGTATTTGCATGTCAGAAGACATTAGCAACATATCATAGTTTAGCATGCAACTATTGTATGCATAAGAGGATTGACAATAAATTTGTATGCTTCATCTGAAGAATTGTTAATCATCCAAAAAATAGGATCACTTAAAAGTTGGCATTACGGTGATACAACAAATTATAATCACACAACATATAGCACAGACTACAACGTTGAAGTAAATAGCTGGTGGACAGTAGCCTGGTTACTGCAACTTTGAGCTTCCGAGTTACTGTCAGTGGAGAGGGTCAAGGGCATTATTAGATGTCAATGACATTAACATTAAACTGATATATGCAATTTTAGTGAATACGTTAACATGTACAAAATGCAAAAGGTCAGGTTTATGAATAATTAGTCACATTAAAGTCGCTAAAAATTAAAAGCAGCTCTGTGACACCAATTGTACTGGCATTCAGCAGGGAATAACCATATGTAGATTCTGCAGTTGGCTAGAATGGAAATGCCACTGAGATTCAAAACCTTGCATGTAGTATCAGGTCAAGAATTCAAGTCCAAGAGTTGGACATGTAGCTAGACATACAAAAAATCTAATGGATCTAATGATGGACATTTACCAAACAATGGGACCTCACGTTAGGATGGATGGGCGTCAAACTTGGCCAGTGAACAACATCAAGTTTAAAGTTATCTACACTACGAAAATACCATCCATTGTTTCAGAAGCATTGGAGTTGCAATATAAAGAATATTAAGATATCAACATCCAGGAGGTTTCCAATCATCCTGAATAATTTTGTGAGAGAATCCACAATAAGAATATGCAGATTCAACATGTTCAACACCATCCTATCCAAATTTCAAAATAATACAAGACTGGGAGTTCATCAGATTTGGATTTTATCTAAGATACTGATTTCGTCCTAAAAAAATTGTTGCAGGGGAAATGCTAGTGGGGTTAGCACAATGCTTTTTCATGGATGACATTTCAACTGGGCTTGATAGCTCCACTACTTTTCAAATCATCAAGTTCTTGCAGCAGATGACACATGTTTTGGATCTCACCATGGTTATATCTTTGCTTCAACCTACTCCAGAGGTATTTGAGCTATTTGATGACATCATCCTTTTATGTGAGGGACAAATTGCTTATCAAGGACCACGAGAAGATGTTCTTTCATTTTTTGAATCAATGGGATTGGGATGTCCTGATAGAAAAAATGTCGCAGACTTCCTCCAAGAGGTATCAACTACCAATTGCTTCTTTAATACGTTCCTTATTAATCATCTCACGAATTGTTAATCAATGATTTAGTTTAAATGATTTGACATCAAGCTGAGGAACTTCCTTTTACATCGCTTTCATACAACTTACAACTCTAATCCCATTGGGACTGTAACTACAAATTTAGAAGAGCGTACCATGTAATTAGGGTAACACCAAGCCACAGGCTATTGTTCTCAACACAAAAGACACATTCTAAAACAAAATAAGAGAAAACACACAGGTATGATTAGATTTGCAGAAAAATATTAAAACTTCTAGTTTTTGTTTCCAAGATTTGGATGCAATAACCATGAACCTATGAAGTACAGATATTGTTTAAAAAAGAAATGTCCAAGAAGAAAGAAAATCAGTATACTCCCTTTTAATATAAAATAATATCTAAAGTTGATTCTGTATGTCATCTGAATAATATAATTAAGCACATATTAGCAAGCTATATGCTCCTACTAGCTACCCCTTTCTTTCACAAACATTTTCTCAAGTTTGTTAATCTAACAATGCATAATACAATAGCAATTTCTAGTGAGGAGAACATCTTCCTCATAGTAAACCTATAAGTCTTGGATCGGTAGCATCTTATTGAGAATTTCAAAATACAAACCCTATGTGGTTAACTTGCAAAATAATGAATAATAAATTCTATAATCCCTTGTCATTCAAACACATAGAAAATTAGATTGTTTGGATCAGAGTATGCATAAATATTTATTACTTGACATTGCCAGCTTAGCAATCTAGGGCGATAGCTTATGTAAGTTTTTTATGTTGCCATTTAACCTACATTTCTATTCATTATATTGGAATCTGCATGTGACAACTAGGCCCAGAAGGCCCATCGACCCAATAACTTAGATAAAGTTGGACCTAAACCATGCGTCCTAAAAATCCATAAATTGGTAATTGAAAGCCCATCAAGCTTTTATACCAATCTAGTCAATCATCCACTTCCAATGAGCACCACAAGACCACAAGAAAAGGAGGCTACCAATGGCCCACTCCAGAAAAGAAGTAGAAGTCAATCATATCCTACAACTACCACTAACTTTGTATAGACAGTCTCTCCAAGTTTCATACGAGTACCAACTGCTCTACACTATAAACGAACTAACCTGCATATGTATTTCCTCCATTTCAAATGAGGAGAAGAGCCCAATATGTTTAAAGATGAAATTGCAAGAAACTAATGGCAATTACATTCTCTCTTACAGACTGCTCCATAGTTATTTCAGTACAACATTGACATTGTTCTAGGTCCAACTCAAAAATAATAAACCAAATATACTTTTTATGAATGATGCGACTTATGTTTGTATTGAAGCAGCAACTTTTAGCATGGATATAGTTGTTTCATAAGTTTTAAATGCAACTTTTTTTTGCACTTTTAGTACAAATGTATGTACAAACAATAATGAATCAAGTATTGCTTCAATTAGGCTTTTGTTTCAGGAATTACATCAAATAATATAATTTCTGGTGGCGTGTACTTATGCAGGTAATGTCAAAGATGGATCAAGCACAATATTGGATGGGTAACAAAAGCACATACCAGTATCTATCTGTGCAAAAGTTTTCAGATTCTTTTGAATCTTCCCAGTTTGGCCGGCTTCTTCAAGAACAGTTGCAAAAGCCATCTAGCATTGAGGAGAGTGAACAAATGGTCAAACTAAAAGAGATATATAATGTTCCAAAGTGGGAGATATTCAAGGCTTGCTTCTCAAGGGAAAAGTTATTGATGAAGAGGAACTCTCCAGTTCACATATTCAAAACCATACAGATAGTACTCTTGGCATTTGTGATTATGACAATCTTCCTGCGAACAAAAATGAAACATCAGACAGTAGCTGATGGGTACCTTTACATGGGAGCCATATTTGCTGGAGTGGTGATAGTGAAGTTCAATGGCATGACAGAATTATCAATAATGGTACAAAGACTTCCTATCTATTACAAGCAGAGGGAAGTACTGTTTTTGCCAGGATGGGCTCTCCTTCTATCTATAACAGTCCTTAGCCTCCCAATGTCATTCATTGAAGCAGGTCTATGGACAAGTCTAACATACTATGTGGTTGGCTTTGCACCATCAGCAGTTAGGTATGTTACAGCTTTACCTCTTGCTAAATCTTAATATGCTAGAATAAAATATTGGATGGCATTTGCATGATACATATATATGTTTTCATGGCAGATTCCTGCAACAGTTCTTGGCTCTTTTCTGTGTGCATCAGATGTCAATGTCACTTTTCCGTTTTATAGCTGTTGTTGGGAGGACACAACTTATGGCTAACACACTTGGGACTGCAACTCTAGTGTCAATCTACATTCTTGGTGGTTTTGTCATATCAAAAGGTTAGATACTAGTGGTTTTTTATCTTAAGAAAAGATGCAAGAGTGTTTCTAGTGTACCTCATAATTTTCCTATTGTTACTTATTTGGTTACTATGTGCAAATCAGATGATATCCAACCATGGTTGGTCTGGGGTTACTGGTTGTCTCCTATGACGTATGGTCAGAATGCTGTAGCAATCAATGAATTCCTTGATCAGAGATGGAATATGGTATGCTCCAACCGCTCCATAAACAGGAACTTACTGGCTAAAATTCAACTATAGTAAACATCCTAAGTAGCGTTGAATGAAGGACAAAGGTTTAGTAAAGGACTACATGGAAGGCCAAAATATGATTAATGCTAAATTAAAAATTCAAAGAGAATGTCTTGATCCTTTTCAGGACTCATTCAGATCATACTGCTAACTATATTTATACTTAGTAACTTAATGATCTTCAAATGGTGATTGGAAGTTTCCGTTAAGAGAATAGATTTGCTTAATAATGAATAACCTAATATTAATAATGTCTCCCAATTCAGTGAGAGAACTCACTCTGTTGATAATGTTTTTTCTTCACAGAAAACTGAGAATGGAGAAAGCACAGGGGATACAGTCGGGAAGACCATTTTGAGATCAAGAGGGATGTTAACAGAGTGGCATTGGTTTTGGTACAGCGTGATGATATTACTCTTATTTGCTCTGGTCTTCAACATTCTCAGCATCTTTGCACTTGAATATCTAAGAGGTCTATATATTTTCCTCCATCCAACTGTACACTGCATGTTTGTATCTATATAATTGAGCTATTTTTCACCTTGATCCCATTAAAGTTTAGGCATAAAAGCTCCAACTTGAAAGAAACAATTCTGTTGAACATAACCTATTACATGCCAGAGTTATAGCCAACATATGTCTTTCAAAAATCATAGTCTTTCAGAGCTTTCTAGCCAACATATAAACTAAAATTAAAAAAAAAAATCAGTTTAACAGCACAGGATTTATTTTTCTTTGGAAAACAAAACATAAGGATTAAAATTTGCTCAATTCCCATGCAAATACTGTCAAAAGTATTTAAATCAACACCAACAGCCCAAATCCTTGTTCAGAATATGGTTTGGTGAATGATATTTTTTTAGCTTCATTAACATGCAATAGACCTTAAAATTACATAAGCTTTGGTTTCTAAGCTTTTCTCTTTCTTTTCTTTCTTCCCCATTGATCATTTTGTTGTTTGAAAAAGCCATAGATCACATTCATCAGTCTTTGATTTGTAACCTCCATCATTGATCTTTGGTCAGTTGGGATGATTTTCAATCCTCCCAAAAAGAATCTAAATATGTTTCGGGAGAATTTTTAATTAGATTTTCCATAAAATGCAGCTCCACAGAAAAGCCGTTCGAACAAAAATATGTGGCCTAAGGATTTCAAAAGGATCGCCGTATCTGATGACCAAGCAACTACAGGGACATCCCAAAGTAGGATGTCTCTACCATTCCAGCCTCTGAAAATGGCATTCAGCAATATTAATTATTATGTTGACATGCCAAAGGTAAACTGCTAAACTTCTATCTATTCAAAAACACCAGTAATTGATCTCATAAAACTTGTCCAATATCTGACTATTTTGTTCTTTGTACTTGTCTATTTTGTTCTTTTTACTTGTCACTGATCAGCAATTGAAGAAAAATGGAATGAAGGAAGATAGACTTCAGTTATTACAGGATGTCTCTGGAGTTTTTAGACCTGGAGTACTAACTGCGTTGATGGGGGTGACAGGTGCTGGAAAGACCACATTATTAGATGTTTTGGCAGGAAGAAAAACTGCAGGACACATTGAAGGAAGCATCAAAATATCTGGATATCCAAAAAAGCAAGAAACCTTCGCTAGGATTTCAGGATACTGTGAACAATCAGATAATCACTCCCCCTGCCTAACAGTTTTTGAGTCTTTATGGTACTCAGCATGGCTTCGTCTTCCATCCAATGTTGATGCGAACACAAGAAATGTAAGTTGCTTCAAAACCAAGACTTGCACCACCACTCATCATCACATAAATTAGTGACAAACAAAAAGCATAATGATCAAACTTTGCATACAATGCTTGCATGTATCGTTAATTCTGGTTATACCTTCAGGTTTCTGAACTAGATAAAGTTTATCCTTCTGGCTTTTGGAGTAGATCTAATGTATATATTGTTTTCTCCTCTATCCCAGATATTCATAAATGAGGTTATGGAACTGGTTGAGTTAAAGTCATTGAAGAATGCTATGGTAGGCTTACCAGGAGTAAGTGGACTTGCAGCAGAAGAGCGGAAACGATTGACAATTGCAGTAGAGTTAGTTTCTAGCCCTTCTATCATATTCATGGATGAACCCACAACAGGTTTAGATGCTCGAGCTGCTGCAATTGTCATGAGAACAGTTAGAAAGGCAGCAGATACTGGGCGTACTATTGTCTGCACAATCCATCAACCAAGCATTGACATATTTGAAGCTTTTGATGAGGTAATACAATAATAGCGGTTCTTCCAGTTATTATAATTAAATAAAGATAAAACAAGGAGAAATCCATGAAAAGAAAAAGCAGAATGATTATATAACTTCATATATGTAGCATATACTTCATGCATTGCAATGATAATTAGGATGCATTCAAATTTCATGGTACCAAGACGTGTACATCCCACACCTCCACCCGTTGAAACTCTACATTATAGTCACTGATAATGAAAACTGAAAGAAATGCTGAACTTATCTGAATCTTCTCCATAATGGGTATAAGCCTCATTTAGGGGACCTGCAGTCTTATCATGCCATCTATGGTTGCATGTTGTCAGGGATATATTAAACAACCAATAAACTAGCTAGAAGCACATTGTTTAAACTTTGAAATTTAAAGTATGTAACAATGTTTGTGATAAATACATCAAACAATAATTCCTTCGTTTTCTCTAGATATCTTATTATTAAGGAACAACACTAACATTTTGAAATGGTTGTCAATTGATTTCAAGGGCACATACCTGAATATATTTTTCCTTCTATTTGACACCTTTTACAACCAAATGTAATGCAGTTTGACAAGACTGAAAAACTCCACCAAACATCAGACTTAGATGAATGTTTTATAAATGAAATGCTAATGTCATTTCATATTGAGACATAAGTGTATGTCAACATATCTGTAACAATTCTAGTAGGAAATGTGACAATTGTTATGAATAATCAATCATCGCCACATGTTACAACTCTTATGGTGCAACATCATCAATATGGACTTGCTCTCATTGCTTATGCCACTGAAAAGTTCATAGTGTTAGATAAGCAAATTAAGAAAAGTTGACGGTATCATGAGGGGATCTGATCAACAATAGATAAGAATCATAAAGCATCATATACTGACTCAAATAGCGAAAGAAGTATTCAAATTTGAAACTTCAAGTCCAAAAAAGGTAGGAAAAAGAATTTATGATGTCCAGGGACCAAGAATAAAAGATTGCAGCTACCTTTGATTTTTTTTATCATTAAACACTTTCCTTTAAAAGTGAACCAAGCTGGTCATAAATCTAAATTTCTCAATGAAAACTAAGCCGCAAGAAATGATCAATGTTCAAAAAGCATTTTGCAAATGGCATAGAGGACAAACTGAGTCTAGAGATTTTTACATCTTGCCCATATTTGTAGCAAAACAATCTGATCTACAGGTTATTATTGAGAGATTATTAGCTTTGTTGGATTTGTATTTTGATTACCCTTGCCTTTTGTTTTATTTGCAGTTGCTTCTTATGAAAAAAGGAGGGCAGCTAATATATGGAGGGCCTTTGGGCAAGTTATCCAAAACCATGATACAATACTTTGAAGTAAGAACAATTTCAGGATATCCAGAGTTACTGTATCAGAAAAAACATGTGCAACCAACAACTAAAAAAATTCTTGCAGGGTATTTCGGGAGTACCAAAGATAAGAGATGGTCAAAATCCTGCTACATGGATGTTAGACGTCACTTCTCCTAACATGGAATATAAGCTTGGCGTAGATTTTGGAAATATCTTTCGCAATTCATCTGCATACAAGTAAACCCTTAAAAGTCTCTTTGATGCAACTTATACATAGATAAATATATAATAAAACATTACCCATAACTTGCTTCTTTTGTGCCTCTTCAGAAGGAACATGAAAATGGTTGATGAGATGAGCAAAAGACAAAGTAATGCAGAAGACATACACTTTACATCCAAGTATGCAAAAGGTTTTTGGTCGCAGTGTGTATCTTGCCTGTGGAAACAGCACAGATCTTACTGGAAAAATCCAGAACACAACGTAGTTCGTTTCATCATCACGATTACAGTATCAGCACTATTTGGCATAGTCTTCCTTGATATTGGTTCCAAAATGTAAGTAAGAAACAAACACTCTATTTATTCTAATTTATCAGTTTTACTTAATTTGTTTATAATGATATAACAGAAGGATGGAACAAGATGTTTTCAACATTCTAGGAGCAATGTACGGCTCAGCATTGTTTATTGGCTTTGCAAATGCTAGTGTAGTACAGCCTATTGTGGAAAGGGAGAGGACTGTATTTTATCGTGAAAGAGCAGCCGGAATGTATTCTTCTATGCCATATGCCATTGCTCAGGTACAACTTTTCTTATGTGTATTATGATAGTCCCTATGGTGATCAAACTAACAAGTGATAAGTTGGTTAACTACGAAAAAAATACAACAATTTCCTAGCAAATCTTAGATATTGTCAGCTATGATCCTGCATGTTACATGTTTTGCTTAGTTATATCAGGATTCTGGAAAATGATCTAGCTAAAAATTCAATAAAACTATTCTTATATTTTTCTAATAAGAGGAAGCAAAAACCTCCAAGAAAATGATACTTGATTTAAAAGGACATGCTACAAAATAACTCATTAAAACCTACTTAACAGATATACTAATTAAATGTAAAGCTTTAAATAGAGGAGCATGCAGGGTTTGATTATATTGACAGCACTATATGATTTCCCCTCTATGCTACCTTGAAACATGCCAAAAGATTCCAAGAAATTTGTGAATTTTTTGAAAATTTGCTCAAAAACCACTACTATTTAGGGATGTTTAGGGGGAGCCAGTGGTCTTTGCTCTGTTCAAAATGGCCTGAACGTAGTATAAAATATTTGGCATCATGAGAGCACAATTTGGCACAACATTTCCAATGTTGGCTGAAACTTCAATCCTTAATTTTTAAGGTTACTTGACATTAGAAAGTTTTCCTAATTTATATATGATGCAAATTCAACTAAGGAAACAAAAGAATGAAGAACTGATAAAGTGGCCATTACTTCCACAAAATGAAGCCAGTAATTTATGCAACATCCCAATTATCCCACAACGAGAAAATAGTTGTTTTAAATATAAGACTTGATTGACCTAATATCATAACTTGGACTTTAACATTCTGAGACAACTTGGTAATAACCATATTTTTCACTAGTTATTAGCTAATAGCTTGTGCGGTTCATGAGTCGATGATAATGAAACAAGTTTGCTGATTACTGCAAATCGATATAGTTGATATAAAGTTAGCACAACACTGACACCTTTCCATCCAAGTCATTTGGCTAGTCCACTTATAGTTCAAGTCAATTGATTAGCATCAAAGCGAATTCTAAAACATAGACGTGTAGAGTTTAGGAGATGTGGAGTAGAGCCGCCACTCTAGTATCATGTCTCACAGATGATTCCTACTAGGAAATCAATAGACCACTCATTCTAAGTCTTGGACCTTAATGAGAATGCCGAGCCATTAAATGAATGAGGGAGATTATGACACACAAGGAATCTCATATCAGAAGTTGATGACAATAGACTGGATTGGCTTATAGGAACACATGCACCTACCACTACTTGGGTTGTTCTTCTGTGACAGCTCAAAGAAAGAATTTAGTTTTGTAAAATGCATATATTCTGGATTTTATAAGCGCATCTGTCATGCTGATGTTTCTCTCAGACTTGCTATGCCATACTGTATCTCTGGTAGAATAACCGTTTTATACCTTGTGTCTCTCCTGTAAGAATGATCATAAACTGACAACTTCTCATTGTACAGGTGGCCATTGAAATCCCTTACATTCTAATCCAAGCAATACTTTTCTCAGTCATCGTTTATCCAATGATTGGATTCCCATTTGTTGCAGCCAAGTTCTTCTGGTTCATGTTCTTCTTGCTCTTAAGTTTTATATACTTTGTCCTCTTTGGGATGATGACGGTTGCACTAACACCTAACCAGCAAATAGCGGCACTTTTTTCTTTCTTCCTCTTCATTATATGGAACATGTTCTCAGGATTCTTTGTTCCTAGAAAGGTATCCAACATTCTACATATACCTCATTCTATTTCATCTTTGTCATACACAATATCTCAGCATGAATCGACGGTGTCTGCAGATGATACCAATTTGGTGGAGATGGTATTACTGGGCTGATCCTGCTGCATGGACTGTCTATGGTCTAATGGTTTCACAGCTAGGAGACAAAGAAGATCCCCTAATTGCGGCAGGGACGTCAGGTGAAACAGTGAAAGATTTCCTCAAGGGATATCTTGGACTACAGGAAAGCTATCTACCGCTCATTGTCTCACTTCACATCGCAGTGATCGTCCTATTCTTGTTCGTTTTCGGCTTCAGCATCAAGTATCTGAATTTCCAGAGAAGATAGGCTGCACCAATTCCTTATTCTTTTAACAATCAAAAGTCGATTACCGTCAACTCCAGCTTAAAGGAAGACATGGAGTTGATCCCTACAACGACATTAGAGTCCTAATGACGGCCTCTAACATTGTTATCAACCCTAAATTTCTTCACATTTGTAATGTTTGCATCAAATTGTTATATAAATCAATAATTGTTAGATGGAATGTGTTCGAAAACTCGAGGTCGGTGCGCCCTGATTGGGCCACCGTATGGCTGCCTATCGCCGGCCCCCCCGGAGGATCCACCACCCAAACTCGACAATGAAACTGAAAGAGAAGAAAAAGGAGAAAAGAAGCAGATAAGAGAGAGTTCGGAAAGAGAAAACTCACTGGTTATCGCAGACGCGGGGTTCCCTCCGCCCTTGCCTCGCGGTGCGCCCTCTGTCTTCCGTAGGTGATGGTGACAGGAGGAGCCACGGAGGAACCGGGAATAGTCGAGGAAGAAAAATTCTTCGACAACGAACGCGTACTGTGGCGCGCGCCCGTGAGTGCACCGACACGATCCCCTCGCCTCGTCGGTGCCACGTGAGCGTATTATCGACTCAAGTCGGTTCGTGAAGCAACGGCCCAGTAACAACTTGACGAACAACCAAACGGTGTTGTGGCTCAGCCGTGCTC